AAGTTGGTGGTGTAGAGATGACAGAACTTTATGGTTGATCAACTTCTTTAGTTTGACAATGGCGACGTTTCGGTATAGATTCTTATACCCTTTTCAAGCATATGAAAAGCCGTATGATTGAAAACGGTATAAAGAGGTTGATCATCCATAAAGTCTAGTCATCTCTAAAGTGCAAGCTCATAGAAGCAATATCATGCCCTGTGTTTACTGACCGGTTTTTGTGATGTAGTAGGCCCTATTCTCAATACAAATATAGGATTTCGTCACCGGGAACTGATACGTATCTGTCACGTTCCGTGGTGGTGTGATCAAACCTGTTTTCAGAGAAGCATGTTCTGTAAATACTACACCGACAGTTAAGGGTGGAATAAAAATGAACTCGAGGACAACACTCGAGGCGGGGAGACTTGCCCATCTTCGCTCTGCGGCTCTGCGGCTTTTCTGATGATGATGATCACCATGATGAGTGAGTGAGTTAATATTTAACGTCACATCGGCAATATCTCAGCCATATCGTGACGAGATCATCATGATGAAACAGTTTATGGTGGTATGCACACTCTGAACATGTTCATTTCTAATGAATTTTACTAAAGAAAAGATGAGTGAGTGAGTTAATATCGGCAATAATGCAGCCATTTCGTGACAAGAGCAATTTATATCAATATTTAAATCAATAAATTTAGAACGCAAAACCTGTCATCTAGAGACAGTAAAATACTAGATTGTCACAGCTCATAATCTAAAACTAGTACGCCATCATAAACATAAATCACTATAGACAACAGTACAATATAAAAACAAGCTATAGTATAGATCACCAGCAAATGAAGGTTGATCACCACACTAGGGACCATGGGGACTTACAGTGCTTTTGCTTCCTGCCTGGACCCTAGTCGATTTATATCGACTCTTCAACAGCTAGCGATTGTAGTCAAATTTAGCCAAAATTAAAATGGTAAAATACTACATTTAAAAAATTCTGGTATATTTAAATTTTCTTTGAATGTTTCGGGACTTACGTACCCTCTAAGGACGACAAGAACAGATGAGAACACACTAAATGTATAAGACGAGTATATGGATGGGAACTTCTTGTTTATTGTATAACACGGCGTTTCTTGGGCTACTTCTTGCCCCTTCTTCGGGTGATTGTATTGAAGTTCCCCATCTCAATCACCTGAAGAAGGGGCAAGAAGTGGCACATGAAACTTGGTTTTCAGGAAACTAGAAATGACTATTTTGGTGGTATAATAATAGCCGGCGACGAAGTTTCAGAAAGAGAATCTGGTGGATTTTGTGACAGTGTTAGGAGCAGCTTAAAATTATGCATTATGGACTAAGATATCAAAAACAAATAATTAATATATTGATGAAAGGCAAGAGTGTTGGGTCTATTATATTCTACTTCTATATGCATTTCACTCGTAAAATATAGATGGGACGTTGTTCCCATTGATAAATATATTATTGATGAATGTAATATGGACCTAAGGGTGATGAAGAATGATCCTGACCCTGAAGGTATTTCGATGAACACAGCGTAACCTTTGAAAGACATTCACATAATAAAGATAGAGTTTATAATTCTAAATATATACTCTTAGAATCGCGTAAAACCCCTTATATGTATATTTACAAAGTTGCTTCGGCAAATAGAAAGGTGAAGGTGACGAAACATGAAAACAAAACAAATCCGTCATCGATTATGCAACTGCGTCACCTACGAGTCTTCAATGGTTATAATATGTTCACCTTTGTATCCAGCTGCTCATATCCTTCGCCATTTTTATTCCTCCATCCAATGAGTGAGTGAGTGAGTTAATATTTAACGTCACATCGGCAATATTGCAGCCATATCGTGACGAAAACAATTTATACTATAAAAGTGAAATGAGAACATTTGACAGTGAAATGGAACCATCCAGTGAAGTAGCGATGGGAACCAGGTAAGCCTTGGCTAACAGACAGTAGGTCAAAACGTTGTAATGTAAATGAAGTCTATCATGAACTATCAGAACTATTATGAAGTTGACAAAAAAAACAATTTCGAGCTAGTAAGAAACTAAACATCAAAAGAGTATTGAAGTTACTAAATAGAAGTGGTGTTTTAAAACCTGTTAGTACACTTGATACCCAAACTCGTTATAATTATATAACGAACTCAACGATAAATGTGATGAATACACAGTGTCACTTAGAAAGTGATAACACGTGCTATATTTCTTAGTAAAGTTGAATTGAGCCCCATCCGGGATTCGAACCCACACCCTCAGAGTCAGGTACCTAATCCCACAAAGTCAGACGCCTAACCCGCTCAGCCACCGCGACTTCCAACACACAATTGTGATGATGATGAAATCTCTCATACAGTTATTGATCGGAGGGTGACAGTTCACTGAACACTGAAGTGTTAAATATACATACATAAATATACACTTGAGTCGAATACGAAACAAACGCGATGCTTAAATCTCAAAACACACATTTAAGATTTAATAAACTTGCTGAAGGCCTCCGTAATTCAATACCTAACTTAAAATATGGTATATGGCGAATTTGGATAAAACCTCTACATGCAAAACTGAAAAATGAGTAATTACATTTGGCATAAAACAACAACATAAGAAGAGAACCAATCACCATTTACTCTTTAATATCGATTTCTTGCTTTGCAACATCCAGCATGGATATAGTTTGTTTCTAAACTATTACATATTTGTGGACTTACGTAAGTTCTTCACTCTGTTCCACACCATTAATAATTGCAAAGGTTAAAGGAAATAATTATAGACCAACTTTTACAAAACTGGTACAGCTCAACAGAACAGACCCAAAGAGGAAGCTGTCAAATATTTTTTTGAGAAAAGCACTTTCACATACCTATATCTACTTGTACACATTCTACATACCTATATCTATCTAGTACACATTCACATACCTATATCTATTTGTACACATTCACATGCCTATATCTACCTGTACACATTCACATACCTATATCTACCTGTACACATTCACATGCCTATATCTACCTGTACACATTCACATACCTATATCTACCTGTACACATTCACATTCCTATATCTACATGTACACATTCACATACCTATATCTACATGTAAATTTTTCCCGTTTTTCTAAATGTGTTTACATTCCTATTATTAAACTAAAAACTTACAACAACCTTCCTAACGGAAACTGGTCGTTCCCACAATGTCCCCACAGAAGAATGAGTGGAATTCGAGAATAAACTGTTTTGTTCTAGTAACTGTGTAGTGTGTAAACTTAGAGCTGAAGAGAGTTGAAACCCGTGAACATCTAAATTGCCAAAGTCCATCGACGTGACCAAATCAGCCATGTCACGCAATGAGGAAATGAATGCAGATGTACCAGATCACCGTTAGTTAATGGTGCGTGCAACTTAGCAACTGACAAAGCCGGCATACTGCGCGTAGTGAAGTACAGTCACACTGGACACTCGAGACGCTGGGTGTACTTTCAGGGTTCAAGTGGTTGTATACACCTGTAGCTGACGATTTGTGTGACAAGTGGTGGAAACAGTGGTTCACTGGAAACATAGGTTCACTGGTTCACGGTCACTCAGTTGGATAGGTAAATTGTACGGTGCAGAAAAACAGCCCGTGTACAGAAATACATAACATGACCTGCATGTACCATGTGACGTATCTGTCTGCGACCTGAGGAGACATTCACATAACCCATCAATGTGAATCCATTCACATGCCAATATATACGAGAACAGAATCACATACCAATATTCACACATTCACATACCAATATCTGCTTATACACGTTCACATTCCAATATCTACTACTACACATTCACATACCAATATCTGCTAGTACACGTTCACATACCCATATCTACTAGTACACATTCACATACCAATATCTACTACTACACATTCACATACCAATATCTGCTAGTACACGTTCACATACCCATATCTACTAGTACACATCCACATACCAATATCTACTAGTACACACTCACATACCAATATCTACTTGTACACATTCACTTACCAATATATACTAGTACACATTCACATACCTATATCTGCTTGTACACATTCATATACCTATATATACCTGTACTCATTCACATACCTATGCCTACTTGTACACATTCACATACCTATATCTACTTGTACACATTCACGTAACTGTACACATTCACATACTTATATCTACATGTACACATTCACATACCTATATCTACATGTACACATTCACATACCTATATCTACCTGTACACATTCACATTCCTATATCTACTTGTACACATTCACATACCTATATCTACCTGTTCACATTCACATACCTATATCTAATCACAAAATTTCACGCACCTTAATCTGCTCAAAATAGTCATAATCACATATCTCCTTGTACGCATTCACATGCCAATGTCTTCTTGTACACATTCACATGCTAATATCTAATCAAAACGTTCACGCACCTAAAGCTGCTCAACATACGCGCAATCTTGTATCTACTTGAACACTACATACTGTATAGACAATAGATAGCACGACACTCATGTAACACTTGACATGTGTCCGTCAAGTAGCCGAAACACTTTGCAAGGTCCCTATAAACCCGTCCACATATAGCTGCATCTCTAAAAGCACATTAATATATCTCTGCATTGACCCTCCTACATTACCGTATCACGTAAAGGTCCAGTCAGATAGAACAAAAACACTCTTTCGCACTTACTCGTAACAAGAGAAGCATATCCTCCCGGAAATCTGAACATTTTGTACACAACCCTTGTACTCCCACCCGATATAAGCATGGAGCGTACCTGGACTCCCCCTGCCTCCCCCTGCCTGCCTCTGCCTCCCCCTGCCTCCCCCTGCCGACACACAACACTGCTTCACAGCACACTCCACGTACTGAAGTGTCAGACTGCAAAAGTGTAGTGACACAATGGCTAGGAACAAGTTGAACAAGGAAATGACTGAACTTACTTCTCAGTGAAACAATCCTGAAGGCTCCCTTCCTTGTCATCTCGCCGACTGAACCCAGTCTCCATGTGGTTGGTCCTAGTTATGGAGCCACAGAGAATTACCTGCGTTGAACAATCAGGCAATCGAATCCTGGCAGCACATATACAGGATCGAGGTATCGACACACATCCACACATATCCCCAGGCGCGGCCATCAACGTGTAAACCAATACCACTGTGGTGTCCACTTGAACAGGTTTCCGGGTGTGCATCTACCTGTAGCGTTCTCGCCTCGGTTAAGAAGTGTGTCCGGGCGGATTATACGGGTTGATATTCGATCTTCGTTGGAAGATGGCCGAGCGTTGTCATGGCATGAATATTGAACTCCCACAAAAGCAATCGATCATGCGTCATTATGTTCAACGACGACATGGGTTTATGCAAGTATGGTTTTGTTTTGCAAGTAGTGTTTGCTGTTCAGAGGACACTACAAAGAACTAGTAGGTCATGTTAGATTCCGCGACCCAGACTAGCGCGTTACCGTACAATAGAGGTCTATTAAACGCGGCGTGTTTCGTGTGGTGGTCAGGGTGGAGGGCGATGAAGAGTCTCGGGTTGGGAGAGTGAGTCGACAGAACAGAACAGAACAGAACTTTATTACGCTCAGGCAGGATACTCGGCATGTGATGGCGGAATGGTTTACATGGAAGATGGTACAGTTTCCATAATGGTATTACAGAATATTCATAGTGGGGTTTTAAAACACGTATTTGTTTAAGTTAAACAATTTGTTAAATTTTACAACACATTGGTTTTTTTAACATAATGGTTTGATATATATATTTTCCGATGATGTTTGAAGAAAGGGTAGAGAAAAATATTAATATGATATTCATTGCCAGCATCAAACGTGTCGCAGAGGTTACACATTCTTCCTTCAGGTTCTCCACGTACATACCTCTATAGGTAAACAATAGCAGGAAGCTCTAAACTACTGGGACTTAGGAGCCAAGGAGACGGGACCATGTCATCAAGACATGACGTACTGTGACACCAGGCGGAGCTGTCGCGATCGGTTGTTGGGGAAGAAACCACAAACTGCACTCAGGTTTATTGTTCGAGAATATACATGTTAGAGCAAGTATGATTACTTGTTGTATGTTGACATCAATCCGACCTACATCGCTTTGTTTACAAGCTAAACTGAAACTGATTAGATAGACGCATGCAAATCCCCTTTTGACATCAGACACCAAAGAGATACGCGTCACCAGTCACCGCGCGCAATTGTTCTATAAATAACTTGTAGGCGATACCCAACCATGGACAACAATAGACAAGCCGCGACGGGTGACTGGCGCAATGCATATTTACGACGAGATGTGTTTAATTAATAATATGATGATTGTCTCAGGAAGTCAAACTACATCTTTATTGTATGTGTATTGAAGTGCTGGCCACTCGAAATAGTACAATGACTAAACATGTGTCCCTAGTGCCAAGATCTATGAACACACCCGTGATTAAAGATGAAACGTAACCTTTCACCGCTCATTGTCCTCATGAGAAAAGCTCTTGTTTGACCGGGATGAAATGTTGTAACATACATATTCAGAGATGAAGCGTCATTGCTCATATATGTCTCAGTTAACGCCCCTCACTGTACGTATTGACCAGCGGGTGTTCAATTCACCGCGTATTTCTCCTGCTTATTCTTTACAGGCTGTGTTCAGTCTTCCGGAACAGACAGTGCATAGTTCCCTTTGCCCCAAGACCTATTTCCCCCGAGGGTGTGACTGTGTTCTCAGTTACATGGACTGTTATTGTATAGTATTGTACTCCCTGTGGAGTGTTAATCCCCATGGAAATAATTTTGCTTTTGTCTGCTACAAGGTGCTATTAAATATACCATTTTCAACATGGCTGAAGACAGGAGTGAAACAGGTGGAACGCAGGGCCCCTGGCTGGAGACTGAGGCTGGTGTTGCTTGCTGTGACAAACGCCTACAGCACTGAAGTGGAGCGTGTTGTGTTTGTGCATGTCCCCGCACACAGGCAACTGCATTCACTGGGTACAAATGGCTGTAGTGTTGAAAGACACGAATTGTCTATGTTGTTACCATAGTACTCCATCGTGTACAATGCATCATGGTGGAGGGGAAGATTGGGGAGGGGGGGGAGATAATTAAGAGGGAATGATTATTGCTCAACGCCGCATCACCAACATTACAGCTATTCGCGGCGAGACTTAGTTAAGAAGAGTTTCAACATGTGCATATATAATATGTAAAGGTTAATAAAAATTGTCTCATATCACAGAAACAGGAGAAAACTCACAAAAGTCGATTGAAATCTATATATTTTCAAAATAGTGTATTTCTTTTTAAAATGCTATAATCTTATAGTTATGGACTTGAGTTAAAGGGGGATTTCATTGCAGGAACATTAAAATATTTACGACGTATTGCAACTGTATCCAAACAGTTTAAAAGAATGTTTTTCATGGTTACTTGACTTTGGCAAGGAGTGCACATGGCAGCATCTTCACCTTTTAGGAGAAAAGCATGGGTAAAGTGGTAATGGGGAGTGCATAAATAGCAGGCCAGGAAAGTGAGTGAGTTAAGTGTTACGCCGCACTCAGCAATATTCCAGCTATATGGCGGCGGTCTGTAAATAATCGAGTCTGGACCAGACAATCCAGGGGTCAACATCATGAACATCGATCTACGCAATGTGGATTCGATGACATATGTCAACCCAGGCAGCGAGCCTGACCCCCCGATCCCGTTAGTCGCCTCTTACGACAAGCATGGGTTACTGAAGATCAATTCTAACCCGTCCTTCACGGGTCTCAACATATGGTAAGGACACCCTTTCAATATCACTGAAAACGGAAGAAATATTTGACACCTTCAAACAACCGAGTGCCAAGATTGAACAAGGAGAAAATGATAATGTTGTTCATTTATATAATGCTTATATCCAATGTAGCACTGCTGTTGTCCATGAGTCTGCATTTATGTTTTGTGGGCACAAAACAAATGAGTCTTTAGTTTTGATTTGAAGACATCAAGTGTCTGACTTGTTCTGATCTCGTCTGTCAAATTGTTCCACAGAAATGGTCCAGCAATTGCGACAGATCTGTCACCATAACTCTTGGTTCTGGATTTGTGCACTTTAAGCAGATGTTGAGTGGTAGATCGCAGGATGCTGAGAGGTTCCTATGGCTGAACCAGATCACAGATGTAGGCTGGAGCAATATTGACACAGACCCGTGAAGGTCCGGGTTAGAATTGATCTTGAGTAATCCATGCTTGTAGTTTAGTTTTAGGCCGCACTCAGCAGTATTCCAGCTATATGCCTGCAGTCTGTAAATAATCGAGTCTGGACCAGACAATCCAGGGGTCAACATCATGAACATCGATCTACGTAATTGGGATTCGATGACATATGTCAGCCCAGGCAGCGAGCCTGACCACCCGATCCCGTTAGTCGCCTCTTACGACAAGCATGGGTTCCTGAAGATCAATATTCTAACCCGGACCTTCACGGGTGCCAAACTGGACAAAACAATTGTGACGGAGATAATGTTGAGAGTGTGGGGAAAAAGCTCGTATCATTTACCTCTGTGGGCATGCTTTAAATACAATAAACAGTGACCTTCTTAGGTAGTATTTGCTTGGATGTAGATATAAAAGCTTGTCCGGGCCGACAGAAATGTGTATCGGGATTGGCTGAAGTATTTATACATTTTAAATTCTGTTTCGTCTCAGGATTCCTCTTTTAGACGCACCCTTGCTCAGGCACTTTCACAGGCCAGTCGTCTTCCTCGAGTTTTAAGCGATTTAGTCATAATACGGTTATTATGGTACACGTTTGTGGATGTTGGTCACTCATTATTATCATGGGTGACTGTTGGATTAATTAATTGTACGCATGGTTTTCCATAATGGATATAGTAGCCAATTATATACAGCCCACCTTGGCCCGACCCGGCCCAAGTTTTAGGCCGTCCCGTGGGAATGTCCTATTCGACACCGACGTAACACAACATCATCATCGGCAGGGGATGCTGATGTTGGCATTATTGATCATTGGCTGAATGTTATGCAGTTTGTTTGTCGTTTGTTTATCCCAATTTAACTGCAAGTATTGACTGACATATTGACGTAGAGCAGCCTTACAATTAGCATGATGGAGATGTGTATTTGATACTAGCTTCCCTGGAACATATTTTGCCACAATATCAGCTTTACTGATACCTTTTATTCCGATATGGCTCGGAATCCAACAAAAAACAATATCCTCATCATCCAATGAAAAGACAAGGTGACGATCTAAGATCTCAGCCAAAAATGGATGTTATTTTTTTTCGACCTTGATTCACTTGCAAACAGGTCAAATTGCCAGAAAACGTTATTGCCTGTGACTAGAATTATTGATATGTTGCAAGACTTTTGCCCTTGCTACTGCATTGAAAATATAACTTGTTAGTCTAATAATAAGGGCATTTTGTAATGCGCTGAATTCCGCGCTACAATTTGATTATTAATACCCCGGATAACCCAAGCTGCCTGTGAGGCGCTAGAAGGTTAACAGTCACATGGCTTATCCCACAGGGTACCCATTTTGGGCGAACAGAGGTAAGTTTGAACAAACTCACTTGCCTAAGGCGAGACCACATGTGTCAGATGTGCTTCGTTGTAGGGCAGGACTGAAGTCCTAGAAACTCTCAGGAGTCAAGCTGCCAAACACGGTCACCCATCTAAGGGCTCTCCTCACCCAGCGTTTCTTAATTTCAACTGATTTGTGACCTGCGCTCTACGCACAGGACCACACACCACCATGTGAGAGGGATCTGTCAAGATCCGGGGTAGAATAGGTCTTTAGTAACCCATGTCGTACGCGTAAGAGGCGACTAACGGGATCGGGTGGTCAGGCTCGCTGACTTGGTTGACACATGTCATCGGTTCCCAATTGCGTAGATCGATGCTCATGATGTTGATTACTGGATTGACTGGTCCAGACTCGATTATTTACAGACCGCCTCCATATGTAGTTGCAATATTGCTGAGCGCAGCGTTAAACATCAAACTAACCAACTAAACGAGAGGGTGCAGTCATTCAGAACAGCAGCAGCTAATACCGTCGTTCGAGCCATATGGTGCATATGCATGTATAATTAGAGTAATATCCCTCATTTCAATAAAAACTTGTTTATACTGCAAAGAATGTGCATATGCACATTTCAGCTTTGTGTGTACATCTGTTCATGTTCACTGAACACGTGTCAGGTTGACATCAGGCTGTATATACGTCCATAAACATTTAACAATGACAGTAGGATCTGAAGTAGAATGATTAAATTGTGAGAATGAGGGAGTTTAAATTTAATGTCACCAATATTTCCACCATATAATGACGAGAAAGGTTTGACTCAAAAGTAAGTTGTTAAGTTGTTAAATAACCAGTCATCGATTGACTGTAAAATAACTAGAGTATCACAGATGGTATTTAAAACTAGCACGTAAATCTAAATATATTTTATTTACGAAGACAATACAATATACAAACAGGCGGTAGGTCGACCAAAACTGAAGGTTAATCACCATACTAGGGTCCATTGGGACTTACAGTGCTTTTGCTAACTACATTGAACCCTAGTTGGATTTACACCATCCCTTCAGCCGCTGGGGATTGTTAGAAATTTAGCCATAAT